TGCAAGGATACTAAAGATCTGAGAACCTTGATGAAAACATTCAAACGTCCACTTATTTCATGTTGCTCCAGGAAATCTTTGTTAGTAAAGTATATATTAGTATATAGTATTTGCACTGTTACTTTCCCTCTGTGGGACAAAAACACAACTTTGCAGCATTGTTTGACCTCTAAGGTATGTATCAAAAGTTGTGAAACATCTATATAAAGTTATTGTTGTTCATGCAACTACATTAACTAAAAGAGAATACAAGCATGACACAGCATTTAATTAAAACTTTAATGCTGGCCGTTCATCTCTTTGCATTATAACTGCTTCCACCCATTCCCTTATTACAATCTTGTAATATCTCGGTTTTACTCTCAATGTGGAGTTGTTCCCCCTCTCTTTCTGTGTACTCGGTTTATTAATATCGTATATCTAACACCCTGAAGTGCCAAACAAAGTTACTATACATACTGCCACCTGCCGGAGCTAGAGTGTATGCGCTGGTGTTAGTGATGTGCTCTACATTTGTCTGGACATATTTCATTTTTAAAAGATTTTGGCATATATGTTAATGTGCAGGAAAACAAGTAATTGAATTTAGATGCAGTTTATATCATAATCACAGACTTATATACATTATATCTGAACATTGCAAATACCAATTTAAATATCATTCAAGTGGCCAGTTGGCCAATGGTGAGAGTTCAGTTCATGTTGATGAGGATGTTAGTTTTGAAAACTACCACAAGAAACACAACAGGGTTTTTATTAATTAATTTTTCAAAAATAGTTACATTGAGGGCAACTGGACAGAGTATGTTTCTTGAAAACAATCCCCTCATCCAATGACCTTCATTCTTAGTCATCCAAGTCTTCTTATTTTTGTATAAGATGATCTGGATGACTGAGAACTTACACAGATATTAATTTATTTCTTTACAAAAATTCTGGCCAGAGAAGACACAGGGGAGGGAGCTGGCATCCAGACAGATGGGCAACACAACCAGAACCTGGATAAAAGAAACACAATGGTCAAGCAGCTGACACACACAAAAAAAAACCATAATGATGAACATAATAAATAAATGAATAGTAAAGCAGTGTTACAATTGAGCTGTTGTCTCTACTCCAACTGATGAATGAATAGTAAAGCAGTGTTAAAATTGAGCTGTTGTCTCTACTCCAACTGTTTAAATGATCAAAGTCACGTCTTACTTCAGAGGTCATGTTTGGTCCTGTTTAATGATAGATTAAAAGATACTGAAGCTGAATTGTGAAATACAGCTTCCTAGACTATGCTACAGAAGATGCAGATGTGGGTGTGCCATCACTATCCCAAAATGGCAAGAGGAATGATGGAAGTCTGTTGGCAGAGAATGAAAGTGCATAGGGTATTTTCCATTTCAGCTGGCACAAACCTCTGGGCCTCTGGAAGCTGATGAGATTTCCGATTGGGTGTAATATTGTCTGTGGTAATGGCATTCAATTTAGATAAACTTCCATGGAAGTGAAAACTTTGGAGCTGCCATAAACTGCTATCCTGAGCTTTGTCAGTATACTGCCCAGTAACATTCACACAATCATCATAACAAGAGTGACTAGGAGACTTATGAAGACATACAAACATAGTGCCAGCTACGTAGGTTTGGAACATATAACGTTTAATTTCTCTGAGAATTTGAACCTGTGCTTCATATTTAGTTTACAATGAGTATTTGTGAAACTGGTAACATAAGCAGGTATTTTGCAAATACCAGATGTTTTGATGCAGGTGTGTTTTTTATTAATTATTTGAACTTTTTTCTTTACAAACATAATCTGGTGAAAGTGGCAGAGAAGAGAACACTTCACAAACTGCTCGCCATCCTGGACAATGCCACTCATCCTCTGCACACTGTCATCAGAAACCAGATGAGTCTGTTCAGTAACAGGCTCCTCCTTCCGAAGAGCAGAACCAACAGACTTAAAAACGTCTTTGTCCACCGGGTAATTAAACTGTTTAACTCTTCACTGGATGGGATGGGTGACCTCAAAATCTTACATTACTATTATATTTCAATAAACTATTATATTTCTATTTTTTCTTCTAAGTATATGTTTATGTATATGTTAATACATATAATCTTATGTAGTATGTGTGTATGTCTGTACATACGTGTGTATATACAGTATGTGTGGTGTGTATATACTTTGTATATATAATGTATATACAGAATTTGGATTTGGGAGTATGTAAATGTGTATATATGTATATATATTTACATTTATAACTAATATAATGTATAAATATAATACTAATATATATCCTATATAATATTATGTATGTATAATAACTCCTAGTAATGGTTGTTTATCTATCTATCTAATCACAGGTTGCTCTAGTGTTTTATACAATGGTCTTTGAGATTGTGTCATGACAGTTGAGTTATTTACTTAAAGTGGTTCTGCTCTTGGAGACCACCGTTTCCACGCAGAATCTTAAAAGGTTAAAGTCATGAATTTTGTTCAAAATCAATAAAACGATTGTTCAATTTTATATATATATATGTATATATATACATATACATTTTTTTTTCAAATAGATTATATGAAATAAACTACTGTGACGCATTCACATACAAATAATCAATCAATTATAACAAACAGCCAATAGCCAAAGCATCGCCATACAGCAGAAGTTTTTTTCGCCATTAACTCAGCTACTTAACGTTCCTCTTTCGCTTCGATGTTGGTCACGCAATGCTGTCTACTGTAAACGCCAGCTAGTCACATGACCATACTGTAATTACAGCTGTGTCCACAGCGTGTGGATGTGGTTTCACATTTGTTTACACTAAATCGCAGCTTTTTTACAATTTTTTTATGCGATTACGTAATCGCAAAGCATGAAATCGTGATTGCAATTGCGATTACAGTAATTGTGCAGCACTACTATGTGGCATGTATCTTTTTTCTCTTTGACTATTAGATGTACTATCTTCTCTTACACTACAACCGAAGAGACTAATCGGTACATTTGGGAGTTTTCCCATGGGCTGGCCCATGTCAATCTCGGTTTGGGATCCCGCTTGGATCATGGGAAAACAACATGTATCTGTAACTTATCTAATCTTATTCTGTATAACGTATTCTCTATATTCTGTATATATATATATATAATCTTATATAACATAAAAAAATGTTGTACATTGTTTTGCTACTGCCCGCCTGCCTGTCCTGGGTGAGGATCCCCTCCTCTGTCTGTCACCCTGAGGTTTCTTCCTTTTTACTTACCCTATTAAGAGTTTTCTTGGGAGTTGTTCCTCAGCCAATGCGAGGGCCAATATGGGCAGGGGACGCTTACCACTGTTACTACTTCTTTCCTTCTTTTTGTTTCTTGCTCTCTTGATAACTGAATTGAATTCATTTGAATCCTTGCATATTCTCCATTCAACTATAGGCTACATTAATTCTCCATGACATGCAACCAATCACAGCAGATTAGATGGGTTCTTCTATCTGAGGGAATTCTCCCCTCCCAAATGTTTCAGTTGGTCTTTTCATTTATTTGGAATGTAAAATATAACATAGAGAAAAGACGTGATAGGCCTATGTGTTGTTCAGACATTCCCAAAGATGTCAACACTATTTATTTTGGAATAAGAGCCTTCATGTTAATGTACACAGAGAAGAAACTTCTCATGTCTATACAATGACATTGTCATTAATAAACTTGCAGAAACCAGTGCTGATTTTAAATTGAATTAAACATTGTGAAAGTGAAGTGTTTTTTGTTAACTTATACCTGAACATATACCCAAAAGTCATTCTTAGAGCTAGCTGCTGTTTCATTTATTCAAATTCATCCTCCATAGCAAAATGGGTCAGGTTTGGGCATGAAACTCGCGGGCTAAAAAAGGGGCCCACCTCTTCAGGTTGGTGTTTTCTGTTTGTTTTGTTTATAAAAAAAAGGAGGTGTGATTGTGTATATTGTCAAAAAGGTATGTTGCACAGTGTGTTATGTCATTGTTTGTGTTTTTTTGTTTAAATAAAGTAAAAAAGATCTGACAGGAAGGACTCCCAGTTCAAAAATCAAAAGGTCACTCAAAACTCTGGTCCATGGTGGAGTTTGGACCTTGGTCATCAAGTCAGACCATGAGTCTTCAGTTCCCATCAGTCACTGCTGCCACCTGTGATGATGACCAGCTCATGTTCAGTTTGCTACCCATCCATCCATCCATTTTCATCCGCTTATCCGTTACCGGGTCGCGGGGACAGCAGTCGCCACCCAAATCACAATGCACCATACCAACCCCCCAAACCTTCCTGCGGGTGGTGAGTCCACTGGAAGGTATTAACCGCCCTAACCGGGATTTGAACTTGTCCAGGAGGTGAACCCTGGGGTTCCACACCAATGACAGAGACATTGCCTCTGGGCCAAAGCTCCCAGTTTGCTATCATCTGGGAAATTCATATTTTATTTCACTTTTCTTTACATTTAATCTAATTTAAAAATTATATCTGTAAGTCTAAAATCTATATCGTTAGGTGGCAGTGTCTCAATGCCCCAGTACCTGAGACATTAGACAAGAAAAGCCATTTCATTTCAAATGCGTTTTATTGATGTTTAAATTCTGTAATTACATTTTTGTAATTAAAACGTCTGAATTATGAATTTTTTTTGATCGAAATGTAATTGTAACCAAGGTAAATTATAAAAAAGAGAAAACTCTTTTCATTAAAAAATGTTTGTTTTGAGCTTAAAAAAAATTGGCGAGAAGCCATTGTTTTTTTCCGATTATTGCAGCAACTTTTGCAGCTCTGAGTAGCACTATGGTATAACATTCGTTGCTACATTGACTTCACGAATATGGCGGTGATGTTGACGTACTCACTGGCAGTTGTTTCATCTACGGCTATCTTTTTGTATCGGTTTTTGTGCCAGGCTAGTATGTGTTATTTGTTCATTTGTATGTGTTAATTGTTCGTCATCCTTCTTAAGTGACTTCCTGGGCTGCATTATAAAATAACCATCGCTCCCTACTAGCATGCGGGTATAAATCGATCTGGCTTGTTTCCTGCGGACTCTTTACGTCGTTGCAACGCAGGAGTTTGCTCAGCTAGATTGTGTTGTACATATTGCATACAAGGCCTACTATTAGATTTGTTCAACCATTTATTCAAATACAAGTAACACGATGTTTGCTGGGCTTCCGGAGCTTGGAATCTCCAATGGTGAAGATTTAAAAGAAACTCTTACCAATTGCACGGAGCCTCTGAAAGCAATCGACCAATTTCAGGTAAGCCCTGCTGATGGCGCAGATGAAAATACCTAATCACAGACATTTCCTCTGTGTGTACAGTATATTGTAATGCGGAATATTTGATATTCTGTTGTTATATATCAATGGAATCAGAACGATTCTTATCATTGCTATCATTATTTAGTCACGGGTCGAATTCTACACCAACGCGTTCAACTTTTTTATTTAATTATATATATATATATATATATATATATAATTTAATAATAAAACAAATCTTAATATACAGATTGGCGTTACCTTCATGAAACACTACTGTTTTTTTTTTCAATTTCTGTAATCAAAAAATGTTTTAATAATTGGGCTAACAGGGCAAAAGCAGTGCCAAACGTCACATTCAGTTTAAAAGCACTTCAAATGTAAAATGTAATTATGACTCAACAGATTTTCCTAATCCAAAACACAAAATGATTGGTTTGTGACAAGAAAAATGTTTATTGGTTTATGGCTTTCCCAAATTGATTCAGTTATGTGTGAAAACATATACCAAATGTAGCCTACTACTTGTTGAATGCTTTTAGTCATGTTCTCTTAAACGTGAGCTTTGTGGATATATATCATGGTGTCAGATGGACAATGGCATCCTTCTGCCAACACTTCAGTCTGCTCTTCCTTTCCTTGACCTTCATGGAACACCTCGACTGGAGTTTCATCAGTCTGTCTTTGATGAGTTACGAGAAAAGCTTATGGAGCGAGTCGCAATGATTGCAGAGGGCAAGGAGGATGACAGGTATGGCTAATTCAAGGATTTTTTTCAGGGCTGAATGAAAGTTATTTAGTAATGTGGTTTAATTCCACCCCCCCCCCAAAAAAAAAAAAAAAAAAAAAAAAAAGGTATGGAAAACTTGAAGAGTTGCTGGATAAGAGTTTTCCACTTGTCAAAATGCCATCTATCCAACCGGTGGTAATGCAAGTGTTAAAACACTTACCCAAGGCAAGTCTTTTAAGAGTTAAGATGTGGCAGCATCTATTGATGAGTTTCTATTTCACAGCTGTATAAGTGTATCTCATGGTACTGTAGATTCTGACATTCCAATTGTGTATAGCAGGGGTTGAGAACCTTTTTAGCAGAGAGAGCCAAAAAAAGTCACATATTTAAAATTTTATTTTGGTGAGTGTCATACAGTCTCTGAATACAACTAGATGTGTGACTGTTGATGATTTTACCGCAGTTATTTAACACAATGCAAATAGAGTACGTGGCGGCCGCAAATGAACAAGAATGTTTTATTTTAAAGAGGATTTTAGTACATTTCTGTAATGTTATACTTATCTCAGCGGAATATCATCGGAAATATTTATTACTTAGTGTTAAGAAATGCCAGCTAAGATTTATGAGTGCCAGATGCAGTTTTCAAAAGAGCCACTTCTGGCTTGCGAGCCATAGGTTCCCTACCTCTGGTGTAATTTAAAGGGTATAAAACTACAACTCACAAGAACAAAGTGTGACAGAGATAAAGTACAAGATACAACTAGCAAGACTAGATAGACATGTCAATTGGTACACAAGGAATACCCCCCTAGTGTACCCACTGACATGTTTATCTACCTCTAATGACACATGCCACAGATGTGTCACTAGGCACCGTTAAGTATGTGGGCTGTGGCTCAAACCCAGGACCTTATGTGTTTGGAAAATAGTGAAAAATAGTGTTACATGAAACTTTTAATTAAATGTTGTTTTCTAATATAATTATAAAAAAAAATAGGCCATCTGAATTCTTGCCCCAACTAAGAGCATTAAATTTTAACTTGATTGATGGAATTGATAACCAGTATAAAAATTCTGGCTCTCATTTTGAAATGTAGAGTTATACATCTCTAAGGCACCTATGAAACAAAATGTATTATTATTATTATTATTATTATAGTTACTTGAATTTGGTAAATGTCATGCATGTTCTTGCAGTTTAACACTTCAGTGTACCCTAGGTATTGTTATTGCTTAATGATCACTACAATACTCAAACAGTTTAGACATTAGATGTAGGTTGTCATCTTTAACAATATGGGGAGGCGCTAGTAGGGCTGTACAACATTTGATGGGCTCCATATTGTAATAGCTCCTACGTCATTGAGGATAGCGCAATCCAGATTGCAGTGTAAGCAGTTTTATTTAAACAGAACAAGAAAGAAGAAAACTTGAATTTGTTATGTTTTGTTCAGGTACCTGAGAAAAAACTAAAGATGGTCATGACTGATAAGGAATTGTACAAGGTGTGTGCTGTGGAAGTGAAAAGGCAGATCTGGCAGGACAATCAGGCTCTGTTTGGAGATGAAGTGTCACCCCTCCTAAAGCAATACATAGTGGAAAAGGAAGCGGCACTGTTCACCAGTGACCTTTCCATTCTTCACAATTTCTTCAGCCCTTCTCCTAAAACACGGCGTCAAGGCCAGGTAAATGTTGGTATTCTTAGAAGTACTGGAAGGATTGATACCAATATTGTACTAAAGTATTCCTATGCACTATAGGTGGTACTCAAGCTGACTCAGATGATTGGAAAAAGTGTAAAGTTGTACGACATGGTACTGCAGTTTTTACGAACACTTTTTCTTAGAACACGAAATGTTCACTACTGCACACTAAGGGCAGAGCTTTTGATGTCACTGCATGAATTGGATATCAGCGAAATCTGTTCCGTGGATCCCTGTCATAAGGTATGGAGAGTTTGATATTTCTTTTGTTTTAAATTTGTATTATTATTAATTTTTTACTTTTTTTCTCTTTTTAAAACTTCTTTATATGCTGTGCAGTTTACTTGGTGCTTAGATGCCTGCATTCGTGAGAAGTTTGTTGATGGAAAACGAGCCAGGGAGCTGCAAGGTTTCCTGGATGGAGTCAAGAAGGGACATGAGCAAGTACTTGGGTATAGAATTTTATAATCCACCCATGGTAGCACACAGCTGTTTTTTGTTTACAAGAATAAGTAAAAACAATTTCTCTTTTTTTTTTTTCAGGGACCTTTCAATGATCCTCTGTGACCCATTTGCTTGTAACACCTTGGTCTTGAGTATCATGCGGAACCTACAAGAGCTGCTCAGTCAGGAATCTTTACCCAGGGTTAGTGATTTTGCTGTTTTAATTAAAGCCAAAGTAGTTGTTCAATTTAAATTTTGAAATTTGTAGATTAAAACGTTTTTGTTGGTGTATTTTTTTTTTTAAACAGGACAGCTCAGACCTAATGCTCCTACTAAGAATGCTGTCTCTGGGTCAGGGTGCATGGGACATGATTGACAGCCAAGTCTTTAAAGAGCCTCGTTTGGTATGTACCACAGCCTTAAAAAACTTTTGTGTTTGAGGGGTCCAATACATGTGTACATGTATACAGTATTCCTGCTCTGATTACACAAGCCTTTTATCTTTTATCTATTCAGTTAATGAGTCTTCCACTAAATTGTTCTGAGCTACACCTCAACCATTGTTTGGATACCACAAGCAAGTTGTTTGTTTCTATTTCTGCGGGACGCACTATCTACATCTGTCCATTTTATTTTCATAACCTTTTCCTTTTTTCCATCTCTCTATCCTAAACTTGGTGAGGATGCTTCTCTGGCTTCCTCAATGAACATATGGCAAATTCGTTTGGCATGTTCTGCTTTCCCACTCTTTTCATTTTGATGTACCGTGTATTCCGCACTATAAGGCGCACTTAAAAACCTTTAATTTTCTCAAAAATCAACAGTGTGCCTTATAACTCGGTGCGGCTTATGTATTACTTCTGCTTGTGCTTACTGACCTCAAACCAAACCAACAGCGTATGACACACTGGGAGCCAACAATGACATTTAACAATCACAATTGGAAGATGATCAACAACAATTGTTACAGTATGGTTGTGTAACCCAAATCTGCACAACGTTGCTCTGGCCTCCCAACACCCGGAGACTCTGAGTTGTGTTTTTGTATTGTTGATGTATGGTGCGATGCAGGACGACTCAGACACGTAGCTGTCTGTTTTTTCGTGGTCAAAAACTCCTTTTTATGTAGCTGTCTGTTTTTTCGTGTCAAAAACTCCTTTTTATTTCTCCTTTTTTATCGATACAGGCAAAACACACACTCTCTCTGCAAAACAACATCCGCACTTCCGCACTGAACAGCGTCTAAACAACAATACCGTTACTATCCAGAACAAAAATAGTGACAACTGCCTGACTCTGGAGGGGCGAACAACAACAGCATCCTCCTGTGTCCAACTTAGGTCACTACCCTTTTCCACAAATCTCCGTCCCTATTGATCTCCAACTCCATCTCACTGATATTGTCAAAACCCAGGTGAAGCAAACGAATTGGGGGCTTGATTGTTCCGCTTAATTGTTTCACTGACTGTTTTGTTTCTAGAACTTCTTTATGACTCTATCTAGTACAGCGGTCGGGAACCTATGGCTCGCAAGCCAGATGTGGCTCTTTTGATAACTGCATCTGGCTCTCAGATAAATCTTAGCTGGTACTTCTTAACACAATAAGTAATAACTAATTTCGCTGATTCAAGTAAAACATTACAGAAGTCATAGTGTTAAAATAATCTTTAAAAAAACCCGCGTGTATTTGCCACGGCAGCATACTCTCTTTGTGTTATGTTAAATAATTGCGGTAAAATCATCAGCTTGGTATGTAGTCTTTTATTTCTGGCATAAAAAGTGAAAACAATGTCAGTCAATTTTGGAGCAACACACACACACAGGACCTCCTAACATGTGCACCTACCATAAGGACAGCAGAGCCCGACTGTTGCACCCCGGGGTTTACGAATCTAATCAGCAGGTGTGTTGCATTTAATGACTGTACAATAAATTACGGTTCTTCTTATGTGATGTGTAATAAACTCTGTTGTATGGCAAGTGGAACCATATATTTATAACTCTGTTACACATTTTAACCCTACATTACGTTTTTTGCCCTGGAGCCAATCGCAAAAAAACCATGCAGCACCAGAAGTCGCATTAATGGTAAGAAGTATTTTATGTATGGCTAGTATAACAATGTTATTAATTTTTAAAAATAATTTAATAACCTTTTTAATACTCTAATACTCTAACTTATTATACTCTCAAATTATTGGTCTGGTTTAAAAATTCATCATATACATTCATTCAAATACAAATATATAATTATAAATACATTTTAAAACGTGACTATTTTGGCTCTCTCTGCTGAAAATGTTCCCCAACACTGACCTAGTATAAAGATTTAAGCCATCCATTACCTACACCACCCACCAGTGGAAGATGTAGGACGAATGGTGCAGACCTGGTTCTTGTGTGTTCAGATTCATCGCCCTTCCCCTCTGTTGGCTATGCTGATCATGCTGACACCTCCATACACCTGGTTATAAACAGGATACAGACGGTCATCATCTGTTGATGTTTTGAAACAACTGACTGGGACAGCTTTGTTTCCATTTCCAGCAACATTCCTGGGCAGGTGGACATGACTATTGAGTGCACCTGAATATATAAGCCGCACCCACTAAATTTAAGAAGAAAAAAATAATTGTACATATATAGGCCGCACTTCTCTATAAGCCACAGGTGCCTATGTTGTAACAAGGGATATTTACACAGAAAGATTTTTTCATTTTTATTTAATTAAATGCTTTATTCCGAACAGTTGCTGTAACACGGCTGGTTACACGTTAGCTCTTTCCTGCTTCGTAGTTGGAATGCACAGGGGAGACTTGGCAGTCTGCTCTAGGGCCAAAGCTAACATTGGCTCCGGAGCTAACTCCCTTCACTTTGTGCTTGTCTGCAGCAGAGGTAAACAGAAACAGTAAGGTTTTTATTATGAGCCACACCGAGCACAACAGCATTTTAACAGATCCTGTATAACCAACTACATGCTACAACATGACAGGGCTTCAACTGCTTATAACTTTCGCTACCGTTCTCTCTCGCACACCCCCCACGCACACAGCCATTCACAAACGCACATACGCTACTAGTATAACAAACAGTAGCCTGCTAGAAAAGTCATTTATTGCTAGCGGTATGAACTTGTTTAGCCCATAAAAATCGATGCTAGCTGCATCATTGTTTAAGTTGCAGGGTGTGTGAAAAAAGTTGATTTCAGGCCTGTAGCCATGGAGAGTGCCATAAAGAGTCATGTGATCAAGGTGACTGACCCACCTATAGACATTGCCCAGCTGCGTAGTGGGCCGTCAGGGTTGACTCAGTCCCTGGCATTCCCCAACCCCACAGCTAGACTTCCTGTTGCAGAGTGTCCATCTTTATTAAGCATCTTGCCACTTCATGACAACAAATTAATAACAAGAGGGTTTACTGTATGCATCGGTCTCAGCACCTGGGGTACATTTGTTCCATATATGCCGTAAGGTGAACTTGTATACCTTTATAAAAAAATAACCACCTGACAAGTCTTTAAACCCTTCTATGGGTTGTTTTTATTGCTGGTATTTATTTTCTTTATTGTGTCTTGATGTAGCAGATAAACACATCTTAAGTTCCAATGTACCTGTTGTGTTTTAATGTATCATATTTTTCATACATAAGGTGCACCGGGTTATAAGGCGCATTACGCGAAACAAAACAGTCAGCGAAATAATTAAGCGGAACAATCAAGCATACCTGGATCCCTCTCGCCAATATCCTAGTCAGGGTCATTGCTGTTAATTAGCTGTTCAGTGATGATTTGACATTTGAGACTGATACCTTAGCCCAGTCATCCACGATCCATTGGCAGATAGTGGCATAATTCGCCCGGTCTTGGTGATTGTGTGTTCGCAATCTGTCCGCTCGCAATTTAACTTTGAACGCCCTGTTAACACCAATATTCAGCTGTTGGAATTCTTTGGTTAATCCACCAGGGATGATGGCAAGTCCCGAATTAGTTTACTTCACTTGGGTTTTGACAATATCGGTGAGATGGGTGAGCATGGAGCCGCAGATCATAAGGGACGGAGATTTGTGGAAAAGGGTAGTGACCTAAGTTGGACACAGGAGGACACTGCTGTTGTTGTTGTTCGCCCCTCCAGAGTCAGACGGTTGTCACTATTTTTGTTCTGGGTGGTCACCGTATTGTTGTATTGACGCTGTTCCGTGTGGATGTTGTTTTGCAGAAAAAGTGTGTTTTTTTTCCTGTATCGATAAAAAAGGAGAAATAAAAAGGCCACGAAAAAATCGACGAATCGTCCTGCATCACACCATACATCGACAATTCAAAAACACAACACAGTCCCTGGGTGTTTGGAGGCACGATGCGACGTTGCACGGATTTGGGGTACACAACCATACTGTAACAGTTGTTGTTGAGCATCTTCTAATTGTGATAACAGAGTTAAATGTCATTTTTGGCTCCCAGTGTGCTTCAGTTGTGTGCCATCATGTGTGATGCGCTGTGTGGTTTGGCTTTATAACTAAAAATAATACATAAGGCGCGCTGGATTATAAGGCACACTGTCAGTTTTTGAGAACATTACAGGTTTTTAAGTGCGCCGTATAGTGCGGAAAATACGGTACTTTTCTCTGTACAAAGGGTTTTTTTGTAGATTTACAATGGCATTAGGGGTCAATAGATGTATGCAGTGACTAAGTTGTCAAGTTTAAAGAATGTATGCAGTTTTTGTCCTTGTAATCCTGTTTATATCAGAAGCCAGTTATAAATTCATTATTTATGCAGATTTCCTTTTTGCCCTTGCGTTCAGGACTTGGATGTTGTGACTCGCTTTCTGCCAGCCATGATGTCAGTGGTTGTTGATGACCACACCTTTTCTTTTGAGCAAAAGCTTCCCAGTGAAGAGAAGAGCTCCCTGCTGTACCCAACCACCCTACCAGATGCATTTAACAGGTAAAACAGGAGATGATTGAGACTTAGCATAAGAATTTCCTTTTTTTCCAGTCATTTTGAAAAGACAAAATTAACTGAGAAAATTCATGCTGCATTCTCTCCTAAACCCCACCTATGTGGCACCGAGGTTTTCCACGAAGAAATTAGTCATTAATAATAATAATTTGTGGCTTTTAGCAACCCGTTGCTAAATAATGAAATTTCTCATCAAAATGTTTCTTTAAGTTGTTTTTGGTAAAATTCCTTATGTATTCCTCTGTTTTAGCAAAGTTTTTACCTTCATATTACATCATTTTTCTTTGGGGTAGATGAAATCCAGTCAAGTGCGCGCAAACGTGCTTGATATTAGTTACTGTCAAATAATATTGATGTCCGGTGGGACTGCTCGATATGGACTATTAGTAATATCTCAATATTATTTTAGTAGAAATGCACCAATGCAACAATTGTCTTCTGTCATCTACAAGAACATCAGAGAGGCATACAAAATTACATGCTTTTGATCTCTCGTGAGGATGCGTCTCCATGTTGTCTGAGGCTAAGCTGAAAGGCACTGTGTGTGGAAGTGGAGTGGAGTGTAGGGTAGAAAAAGGAGCAAGGTTATGGCCTTAGTATTTTAATGCAAAATTAACTATATCCATACAAGCAATATTGTCTCATGTTATATATTGTTTAGAAATATATCGATATATATTAAAATATAGCAATATGGCCCAGCCCCGATAAAATATGTTGGTGAAAAAAATTGTATTCTAATAATATAATTAGAGTAATACTATCAGTAGTATGAAAATTAACACAAAAAAATTTCAATTAGCGTTTTCCATGTGGCTGGTCATCATTTGTAACATTTAAGTCGCCTTGGAATCCATAAGAACAGAGCCAACAAAATTGAGAAGGTAAAAAGAATAAACCTAATTACAAAATCAGTAATATGTATATAGCAATGACCCTAAAAACTTTTCTTTACGTGCATTTTAAAGTGCTAAATGCATGGAGCAGACAACTCTGCATGAGCAGTGTTGAGGCTGGTTAAGATAATTAGAAAATCAGCAATATGTATATAGCAATGACCCTAAAAACTTTTCTTTACGTGCATTTTAAAGTGCTAAATGCATGGAGCAGACAACTCTGCATGAGCAGTGTTGAGGCTGGTTAAGAGGTGTCATGCTGTTTGCTTTAATGCCTCCACATGCTGCGATCTGTACTGCTATTACACCACTGCTGTTTTACAGCCCAGTGGGTAAGCTAAAGACTTGCAATGGTTATGTTAATAGAATTCAGTAAATCTTAAATCTGTCTGTAGAAACGCACTTCATCATCCACACACAGTCAAGTAATTTTAATCTAAGTTGCTGCTTCATCTGCAACTACAGTGTAACGCAAAGATGCAAGCAAACAGCAAAGATGTTAATGAGGAATTTAAACCATGGTCATTTTTGTTACAACTTGCAGCATCTGTCCACAAATTTTTGCTTCAGCCTTTAAAAATCTCTTCTCTTCTACAAATGATTTTATGAGTCAGGGGAATTTTTTTTATTATCATTTATCATTTTTTTAATCAATAACAGATGTACTCTGATCCAAGGTGTGCCATAGCTAGGGCTGCGTACCGAACTTCGGTTCTTTTATAGCACTGATTGAAATACTTAATAATAATACCGAGTATCAAAAATGTCTGAAGTTATCAAGTTTTGGTACCCAGATGGTAATCACGTAATCAAGATCTGATCATGCTGCCGGCGATTGGCTATAATGTTACACGTGATTTCAGCATGCACGAAAAATACATATGTGGTGTCCAGCACTGTTTTGATGGGGTTCATGTGTATCTGTGTCGGAAGCTGCAGTTGTGTCGTGAGCTGAAGCCTGGTTGTCTCCGACACATCAGTCAGTGACTGTTGTTAATGCCCGGTTAAAACAGCATGATTGAGAGAATTTGACAAAAACAGTTGGAACGACTGCTTCGTAAAGGATCTTCAAAATAGTCAGGCCTCTGATCAACATGATGGAATCATTACTGTGGGCTGCCGTTGCTGAGAACATGATGGAGCAGAATATCTGCAGCAGCAATGGTGGAACAGTGTGTGTTTTGAGTGGAGCACATACACGGTTGCAGCGGCTGCTTTGTGATCTATCAGCCCTGCCAATGTCATGATTTATTAACAGTGTGAGGTGCCAATTTGTATATTTTTGCCAAGCAGGTATTTCTGGGTGCAAACATTATCACTGTGTGTGTATATATATATATATACTGTATATATATGTATATGTATATATTTATATGTATGTATATGTATGTATATATGTTTATGTATGTGTATGTATATGTATATATATGTGTATGTATGTATATGTATATATACAGTATGTATATGTATATATGTGTGTATA